CTCGCCACAATACAAGCCTATTTACGAGATCATTCTCCTACAATATCTACAACCTATATAATCAAATACCGCTAAACCTTAAAAACCTTAGACCAACAAATTTTAAATATTTATATAAAAAAATGTTTTTGGTTCATTATTAAAGAATTGTTACATTCCGATTATGGAAGGATAAAAATAAGTGCCGAGTGTAGTGGACCCGGGTGAGTGTGTTTGACGATCAAAAAAAAAAAAACATGTATATTTTTTTTTAACTTTAATTTTTGAGTATCTTGCTTCTTTTTTTCTTTCGATATTATTGGTATGATAGAGGTATTACTATATTTTTTTTTTTTAATTAGGTACTTTAATTATATTATATGTTGTGTAATAACTAACGGATTTGTTATTATCTTATTATTATTTCAAAAATTTTGTATGGAGTTTAATTTTATATCAGTATTAACTGCCTTAAACTCCTTTTTGCGGTTTTTTCTTTATTTTCTTAGTATTAAGACATATTTTGTAAGTATTGTTGAACTGCAAATAAATCGATTTATTATTATTATTATTATTATTATTATACACACAAATAATGAACAAGACCCAATTAAATTATGGCGCCAATCAAATCATCATTTCATGATGATTTGATTGCTACATTCATTAGCAAAACCAAAAATTAGCATCCTTTTCGAAAAGAAACGCCGAATTACTGTACATACACATACAACTTAGTGAAAATGATTTTGAAGCAGATATATTAAGATTTATTAAGGAAAACGTAGTTCCCGGTGAACTTTACTATTCATATTTTGAAAATCAAGGCGTTTACGAACCATTCTGCGAAGTGGTAAGAAAATATTTCAGATGGCCGTCTTTGCATTCCAAACGATGCTTGAAAATACTATTGATGTAACCAATAAAAACGACATTCCCGAGATTATTCAAAATTATCATGAAGGCAAAAGCAACCATAGAGGCATAGAAGAAACGTTAGAAAAAATCAAAACCAAATATTATTGGCCAAACTTCAAAAATTCCATTCAAACCTATATTAATCAATGCAAAATCTGTACTAGGACTAAGTAGGAACGACACCCAATTAACATAGAGATGAATATTGCACCCACAGCCATAAAACCTTTTGAAATAATACACCTTGACACATATACTTTGAACAGACAAAATTTTCAACAATTTTAGATAGTTTTTCAAAGTATGCCCAAGCCTATGTCCTAAAATCTTTGGCAGCAACAGAGATAGCCGACAGTCTCCTTTTCTTCCTTTCACACCACGGTGTTCCGAAACAAATTATCTTGGATAACGGAACCGAATTTAAGAACACTGTCGTTACGGAACTTTTACAATTACATAAAGTTAAAATTCACTTTATTTCGCCCAATCACCCACAATCAAACAGGGCAATTGAACGTTTCCATTCCACAATTTCCGAACATGTTAGATTATTAAATGCCCAAAATTTCAATAATTCCACTATTACCCAAAAAATGACCTATGCTATATTAGCATATAATAATTCCATCCACTCAGTAACGAAACTAAAACCAATTGACATAATCAATGGTCACACTAGTTCCGAAGACCCCTTCGATCTAAATTTAGATCATGTATTATTGTCTGATTATATTAGTGAACATAAAAACCGATCTAAACTACTTTACTCCAAAATTAACGAAAACTTAATTCAAAACAAAGAATCAGTAATTACAAAAATCAACAAGGAACGCGATAGCATGGGCGAAGTTAGGGCATCAGATCTGGGGGGGGGGCTACAGCCCCAGACCCACAGGGGGAGGGGGAGGCCCGCCGCAAGCGCTGCCGGAGTCAATAAAATGTTTGGGGTGCCACGCCCAAAAACGTTCATTTCGACCCACAAAATGAATGATTTTGGGCGTTCTGAGCCTTCAAAAAATAAACAAATTGTTTATTTTCTAATATGTTTGTGTGTGATGAAGTGCGAAATATTTTTGGGGGGGCTTAGACCCCCCAAGCCCCCCCCTAACTTCGCCCAGAATTGTTTGAACCCGGACAGGTCATACATATCAAAAAACACACTCGTCAGAAACTTGGCGAAAAATTCTCAAAACCTGTAAAAATTACTGCGGTCAACAAAACTCGCAAAACCGTGTCAACAAACGCTCACGGAAAAATTCACATGGATAATATAAGAAGGCCACTTAAGAAAACATATAGTTTCGACTAGGCTAGTTTTACCTTGTAGAATTAGAGTAAGCATGATTAAGTATGTTATTTCTTTTAACGCTAAAACTTATCTTATAATATTATAAGAATTAAGTTGTATCTCGTGTTACATTTCAGAACAACTGTGGGATTCATCACATTATACTTTGGAATCGGATTAACTACAGATAAAATTACAATGAAAATGTTAGACGACAATCCTGGTTTATTACCGGTCAAACTAGGAAATGTAAACATTCACGATTACAACTATAATTTAATTCACTTTATGACCTTAACCCGATAAGCACTGAAATCAATAAATTACATTCAAAATCCCTAAATATAACGACGTCACTTGACACTCATTCAGAATATGGGCTAGAAGCCACAAATTACATGAAAATTCTCAAATTAACACAGGGTAGAGTTGAAAACAAAATTAAGGAAATAATTCCACACCCACAGAGAATTGAAAGAGGACTTATAAATATATAAGGTTCAGTTTTCAAAACAGTCAGTGGCAATTTGGACGCCGCTGATGGAGAACTCTACGAACAATTAATTGATAATTTGCAAAATAATCAAAATAAGCTGGCAGAAAGTATTTTGAATCAAAAATCAATATGTATCACTAAACGTACATAATTGCTAAATTTAATGACAGCATAACACAAGTTGGCAAACACGAAAAGCTGTTAGAGTCTGAAATAAAACAAATATCCTGGATTGTGCAAAAAGGTACAATGAAAGAAAACGCTATTTTCATTAAAGACGTTTTAAATCAGATAATTAATCTTTATGAAATTATCGATTCTGTATTGCAGGATGTTGAAAATTCTATCACCTTTTGTAAACTTAAAGTAATGCATCCATTAAGCATTATAAAAACCGAAGATCTTTTTTCAGAACTTAAAAACCTGGAAAAACGAGTCAGCTCGAGTCAATTGCCTTTACAGATAGAATTAACTAACATACTTTTTTGGGAAAAACTTATCGATATTGACTGTTTTATTTTGAATAATAAAATCACTTACTTATTGCATATTGCAATTGTTTTAAAAGAAAGTTTCGAAATTTTTGATTTATATTCAGTCCCTATTTTATCCCAGAGTCGGATTAAGGTTATTTTGCCGCGTAATAAATTTCTGATTAAAAACAAATTGCACTATACGTACCAAGACCAGGGCTGTCAAGAAATCTCACCCCAACGCTACATACGCGAAAAAGAAAACCTAAAGGAAATCCATGGAAGAAGCCCCTGTGCAGTACAGTTGTTATCAGCTCCAAGAGTCACTTCAACATGTAATCAAATCATTCAAATCGACGTCTACATAAGCCAGCCGATAACCAATCAATTGTCAACTTCCAATAAATGGCTATTCGTCCTGCCCAGTGAAGATATAATTAAATTTAAATGTTCTGCCCAACAAGAAGAAATCAAACTAAGTGGAACCTACATCCTCGAAATTCCCAATGGTTGCCAAATTTCATTCAACGACCTCGTCATAGTCAATAACCAAAAGACGACCAATGAAAGTATCCAGCCTATACTTTTCCCGGATCTGAGTGAAACTTCAAGTCTCATGCCAATTTTAAACCTGAGCTTCCACCTAGATGACCTGAAGCTTGACGAATTACAAGAAATAAAGAGCCAGATTATCACTAACCAACCCCACTTAGATTTCGACAAAGTTACCAAATTTCCATCAATTTGGACAATTTGAATATATCTTCTACTGATACTTGGCTTTATATTTTACAGAAAATTCTGCCAAAAGTCCAGTCCACAAAGAAGACAAGAAGAAGAAGCCCTGAAGCTTCAACCGATTCGACTACCTAGTCCGCAAAGAAACCAAGAAGAAGAAGAAGTCCTGAAGCATCAACCGATTCAACTACCCTGACGGTATAGTTGAATTTAGGGTTGGAGGAGTTATGTCACCACCAAACAGCCAAACAAGCTGAGTCGACATGCTGACCCCGCATAATTAATCTTATAAAATAATAAGAATTGTATTGTAAGAGAATTTTTAAGTGCTTTTGTATTAAACTTAAATAAATGTTTTTTGAAGTTGGCCGAGATAGTTAACTATTGTAACGAAATATATTATAATTCTGATCAAAATAAATTTGTTCATTGGTGCTTATGAAAGTTCCTATCGAGACACCGAGGGATTATTTATTTATTCTACCGAGTTAGCAGTTACCGCTACTTGATGAAAATTCATTAATTTTTATGAAAATATTTACCTAATTAATTTTCAAACATTATTTTATCGCCAATATTTATGTTTCGTGTCTTCTTCAGGTAAAAGTATCCATCACGAACGACAATGAAATCCTCCGTTAAATTAATAAACTAACCAACACCGAATCAATTATCTCAGATCTCAGTATTCTCAATTAATTGGAAAACTGAACATTTATTAAAGTAGCGAATTCCGTTTTTCATCTATTTAATGAATAATGCTCGCGCAGATGGTGATGAATATTGGGTTAGAAAACGGCATTACAATTAATTCGCAATTATAATTCTGTTCAAATATATTGTCTTGAAATTTCCCAAATTTTATATCTACTCAAACACGTCAAACCTCCACAAAGTACCTACAGAGGATCAAATAACTAAAATAAATAAATAAAATTATATACCTATATACATTTGAGCTTTCCGAAATTTGTATTTTTCTAGGTTCAATAATTATAAAAGCAGGTCTCCTTATTCTTCACGATTTTCATTTCACATACATTATAAAATAATTATATTAATTTTTTCAGGTTCGTTACAACGGCACTCTACTGTATTTCACACGTACCATAAAATATTAGTTGCCATTTCTTCAATATGCCAACTTGCGATACGTGTCTGCTACCAGCATTGATGATTTGCAAGTGCCAGCGTCCTTCAGCTTTTTCTCCCCAATAATGTACTGACAAGAAAGGCCAGTCGTCAAAGTTGGAACTGATTACATCTCTAGGCCTTTCGAATAGTAATGTGGACGTGGTTCCTGATGGCGAAGTAAGCAGAATACGTAGATTTCCTCTGGGGAAGAATCTGAGAGAAATTTTGCACTGAACGTGTTCGAGGAAACGTACTTCGTTTAGGGTTGTGGCACAAGCTTCCACGTCCATGTAGAAATCGAGACTGGCACCTGTGGAGAATAAGCACGAAACATGTAGTAAATAAAAAAAAATTGAATAAAATAAAATAGAAGGTAATTTTATTCCAAAACAAACTTAAGAATTGAAATATTACACAAATTTTATTTGTAAATGCGTTTCTTTTGATATGCTGATAATATTAATGAACGCTGTCTAGTCCTTTGTTAGACGACTCTTTGTTATTTTAAAATTGTAATTATTATAGGAGTTTGCTACACACAAATGTCTAACAATGAACTTTCAGATGAAAAGCAAATTGGCACGCAATTGTGAAACTAGAGCTTTATGCTAAAATGATCCGACAGTTGTAAGCATATTACAAAAATAATTGCCACTGCAAGTAGGTACCTATTTATTTTAATTTTTGCTTTATATCTGTTTGTGTTACTTATGTCATATGATTTCCAGAGAAAACATAAAATCCTTCGAAAAATCGTGCCTGTTTTTATCAAATAGGTATGGCAGAACGGAATGGTTTTCTGATACATATATGGTTAAAACAACTCTATGCAGAAACTCTTTGTATGTCCCATTTCTAATACAGGGACATCAAATTGTTTGACTTTAAATAGAAAACAAACCAAATAGAAAGAAAACATACGCTGCACAATTCCCTTTTTCAAACAATGACAGGTAGCTATAGGGCTTATTTTACATTCCGCAAGCTGAAACCTTTTGTAACAACATCCCACTTTGGATGCATGTCGAGCAAGCGAGCGAGGTCTCGCAATAAGGCAAAAATCAATTTCAGCTATATTAAAATTTGCTGTTCCTGATTTTTGTTTTATTTGCTCCCAACTATATATACTCTTTGTAGTTTGATAACAGAGTGAGCATACTAAATTGATGAAAAACATAAAACTTACCATAAGTAAATGGTATTTGCTTATCCTCGATAATTTCCTGACTTTTACATATATGTTGAGGTGGAACTGTAGTCCATTTCTCAGCTAAATTAACCAAAGCCGTGGCATCCATTAATCCATAACCAAACTTATGCGAAACTTTCCGTTTGACCCCATTCATTATCCAACCATTTTCTTTTTCTAACGGTGTAGCTCTTGAAGTGAGCACCACCAAATACTGCATATCTCTCCAAGTCAGCGTTGGGTTAGCTTCAAGAGCTAATGCACAAATACCTGCTGCTAGAGGTGCTGAAGCTGACGTACCAGTATGTTCTACAGTGCAAATATGATCAGGTCTCAATCGTGCATCCATATCTACAGTAGCCACACTTTTGTCGTGACCTGGTGTGCCTGAACTGTACGTTGTAGCTAAGGTCGATGAACATTCTTCCAAGTACCAGGGCTTGAATCTACAATAAATGACATGAGTAATATAAGGCTCTATTTGCGGACTATACACATAATCTGCTTAATTCGCTTTTCTAAAATTATAAATATTGCTGCTCGCCTAGAATTGAGTCAGTTGAATTATAATTATATTTCTTATTTTTAATCTTTGTAACGCGTAACGCGAAAGTATTGTAAATTAGTGTTTTTCAAAAACTCGTTATCGGCTTACGGATTGATAACTGGCGCAGTCGTCCGGATTTTTGTTTTTGGGACTTCGGAAATCGGACTAACTGGGAACTCGAATCCACACCCTTGTGTAAGAATCGTATTAAGTGTTTGCGAGAAGTGTCGGAGTAACTTTACGAAATCGAGAACCAAAGAACCACCTTCAAATAATCGGAGTATTGGATCAAAATAGACAATACTACGGACAATATTTGGATAAAAATATTCTACCAGAAATTCTTGGCCTTGTAAATGTTGCTCTGGAATAATTTTAATGTAAGTGCAATGTCCAATTTGTAATTTCTTTAATGTCTGATATTGATGAATTAACAGAAAAATTATTATCTCTATCTCTAGCTTCAACTGACTCACCTTCTAATACACAAGAGTTTATAAGAAATATTATTCAAACATTGAAGAACAGGGCTGCAGAAACTGATACAAGCACTAATATAATCAAAATAATTTAAGTTCAAATAATATTAATACAAGTAACGATATAGCACAATTTTAAACCTGAGTAATTGAATTGCGTACCACAATTTGATGGTAACCCTAACGATCTGAATAGATATTTGGCAGTCTGCCAAAGTTTAATTGATTGATAATTTCTATGATGCAAATCATCCAAACCATTTTCAAAATATTCACTTGATAAATTGCATCATCGAAAAACTAACTGGAAACACAAAATTGATACCCATGTACAAAAAATGTCACAACTTGGGATATTTTGAAACAAACATTGAACAGGCATTTCGCAGATCAAAGGGACGAGGCATGTTTCAACAGAGATCTCATAATGTTGAGTAAGCAGACCACACGAAAACCTAGTCAGTATTATGACAGGGTTATGCATATATTAAACCTACTTTGTTCTTATGTAAATAGTCACGAAGATAACCAAAATTCGAAAAATTTAAAAAGCGAAACTCGTACTTAGCTCAAAAATTATTTCCAAATCACATAAGTGTCAATATTTCACAACCTTAGATTTGGCTAGTGGGTTTCAACAAATACAAATGAGTGTAAACGGCATTCAGTACAGAAAATGGCCATTTCAAATTTTTGAGGATGCCCTTCGGACTCACCAACGCCCCAGCAACCTTTCAAAGGGTCATGAACGGCATCCTACAAGGAATCCAAAACGAAAAGTGCCTAGTTTACCTTGATGACATTATAGTGTTCTCGTCGTCATTGCAGGAGCACCTAGAGCGGTTAGAACCCGTATTCGAAAGATTAAGAGAAACGAATTTTAAGATCCAGTTAGATAATAGCAATTTTCCAAGGCACGAAGTAGCCTACTTATAGGACACATTATAACCCCTGAAGGAGTACGTCCTAACCCAAATAAAGTCAACGCAATCAAAAACTATCTCATACCAAAAACAACGAAGCAAATAAAGGGACTTCTTGAACTATTAGGTTAATATCGTCATTATCGACCCTTCATAAACAATTTCGCAAAATTAACAAGACCACTAACTAAATGTTTGGAAAAGGGAGCCAAGATTGAACATAACCCAAAGTTCATTGATTGTTTCGAAAAATATAAAAAAATATTGACAAATGAACGGACATTACAGTACCCGGACTTTTCTAAAACTTTTAACTTTACCTGTGAGGCAGATGCTAGCAACGTAGCGCAAGGGTCTATATGTCAGGACTTGCCAATAGTAAACGCATCACGTACACTGAACGATTCGGAACAAAACTACTCTACCATTGAGAAGGAATGTTTGTGCCTACTGTGGGCGACAAAATATTTTAGGCCATTTAGACGAAAGTTTAACATCATAACAAACCATAAACCCTTACAATGGCTGTTTAACTATATAAAGATCCCACTTCAAAATTAGTACGATGGCGAATAAAATAACAAAACTACCAAATAACATATAAAAAAAGAAAAACTTAACACAAATGCTGACGCGCTAAGTCGGATTGAGTTACCCACAAAAAACGCCGCCAACATCTCAAGTTCAGTCTCGTACATCGAAGAGTTTGATAAGCAACTTCAATGGCACAACCCGACCTTAACCCACCAGCAGACGAAGACGACAACGAAACCGTACATACAAATAATGAACAAGATCCTATAATAGGAGTTCCTATTATAGAATCATTTATTTCGAAAATCTAGATACTTACGAACCTTTCTGCGAAATAATAAGAAAGTACTTTAAATGGCCTTCGACTAAATTTAAAAGATGTCTGATAAAATTAATTGATGTCGTCAACAAATTGTACAAGTAATTGACAATTACCAGGAGAGCAAGACGAATCACCGAGGAATCGAAGAAACCGAGTGTGGGGGGTTGAAAGTAAACCTTTGTCCCACATTGGAGAGTTAGCCTCTGTGTTCAATTCAGAACACCAAATTATCCATAGGCTGATTCGGTTGGATTTTCCAATATTTAAATAAATCACAACTTTAAACTTTTCACTGAATTTTTTATTTTAGAGAGAGAGAAGAGAGGGAGAATTGTTTAATAACAATATAGAGAAGAGAGAGTGTGAAAAATTATAAATAATTACATATTCAGCGGTTATTAAATTCTACCTAACCTAAATTGCATTTTTTCAACTCTCAACAGAGAACAACAACTAATAAATGCACAGGGACACTTGCTGCTCGGCAACAAGACGCTACGCACACATACAAAAAATCAGCGGGTTAAAAAGAGAAAAAGATAGGGTTGCGCGTAGAAATATCTTCTAGAATTTAAATTCGTCAATTGTCATTTTTCTGTTCAGCGTCGGAGCAGCAAGTTTTTAATTTAAAGGAAGAAAAATAAAGTTGGAGTTTTCCCAACATACTTCCCCCCTTGACGCAAATGCTTTAACAAATGCTAAAGAAAGGTAAAAATTTTAAAAATAAATAAGTGAGAGAATAATACTGAACCTAAACATACATTAACATAAACTTACACTAATCGTTTTCAGGAAGTGGACATAATTTATTAATAGCCCTAGTGAAAATTCCATCTCGGGTTTTCACTTGTACAACTCGGACTACATCGTCTTGGCCAGGATGAACTGCTATCACCCTAGCTAGAGGCTAGTTAAGGGGAGGTGTATTTTCGTCCTTTAAGAGGACTAAGTCATTGACCTGTAGCAGGAAGCTAGGATAGACCCATTCAGGTTTATTTTAAAACCTATTGAGGAAATCCACTTTCCACCGCTTCCAAAACAATTGTCTTACTTGACAACATTTTTGCCAGAGGCTCAGACGATTCTCGGGAGTGGAGGTTAAAGCAAATTTAAATGTTCGAAATATTATTAATATGTCATGCTCGGGTTGAGTAGTATACCCCTTTAATAAAACTTTATTTACGACTAATGTATAATGTGCGTATTGTATTTGTGATTTTGGCAGTATAATGACATATGTTATCCCTCCAGGGATTAATGACGAGTAGCGGGATTAATGGTCATTATTCCACAAAAGTGTCAGTGTCAAACGTGTAGTGCTTGTGGATTTGTATTGAAAATTATGAGACGGATGAAATTTGTTCATTGAAAATCTCAAATAAATTAATTTGTCGTAAATAAAGTAGAGTATACTACTCGCAATAATGGCTATTATTCCCTCGGAATGTTACTCCCTCGCCGCTAACGCGGCTCAGTTCGTAATAATCCTCGGGAATAATAGCTATCATTATTGACTCGTGGTATAATCTACTATTATTGAGAGAAACACCTGAGGAGGTTTTCATCATACGACCCTCAGTTTTGTAGTGAGACTGTGATCTCCGATGACACAATGATTGGGAAAATGAATTTGTGTTGGTGTAGAGAAATGTATTCGTTAATAAATTGTCTGTACTGATTATAGAGTGATTCATTCTTTTTGAGGGTGTTCTCAAGGTGTAAAAATCTTTTCCGAGCAATATGATATGAGTCTCCTAGTTTTAAGTACCTATTCCTTTGGGGTTTTTAGTGGAAGATTTGCTTGAAACCGACCATCCGGTAATATTTGAGTTGTTTCTTGAAATATTGTTTCGGCTAGTTCATCCTCAGGGGATAAAATCGATTTTTCAGGGAGCTCTTCCATATGCCAAAACCTTTAACTATGCTATTTAGGGAATCCTCTTGAGAGTTTTGAGTGGTGAGTGACTGTGCAAAAAGAGAGACATTTTTGAAGCAATTATCGCTCGAGGGACACAAATAAGTATGAACGTTTGAGCTACAAGTAGACTGGGGAATACTGCCCAATATCAAATAACCTTGGTGACTATTCTGCAGTATTGGAAGATGCTTACCAAGCTTGATTAAACCATCTTTCAATACATCGCAGTAAACGTCTACTGCTAGCAAAAGGTCAATTTTGTTAGGTGAAACAAATGCTGGGTCTGCATATTGAATGTTTGCAGGTAGAGTAAATTTATTTGAATCTATTCTAAATTGAGGTAAATGTAAAGTTATAGTGTCTTGTATTGCGCACGTAGCTTTAAATTTGAGAGAATTGTCAAAATAAGGGGAAAAAGAGATGTCCAATATTTGTTGTGCAAAAGTGCAATTTTCTGCGAGAGTAGAGACTTCAATTGTTTTATTCTTTGGAAAGTATTTCAATTCATTTGCGAGTTCTTGAGTGATAAATGAAATATGACTGCCGCTATCAAGAATTGCGCGAGCTTGCACAGGTATGTTATCTTGAGAGTAGAGTGTGATGAGCGCAGTGGGCAGCAGTGCTTCACTTTTAGCAACTGAGAATGTGGACAGAGTTGAATTAAAGAGACAGGTGTGTGTATTTTGGGAATGTTGAGTTGGTATTATAGTTTGTATTTTGAGAGATATCTGAATTTTGAGAGAAATTATTATTTTGAGGGAGACTTGGAGTGTTAGAGCGTGAGGATCTGAAACCGCGATTTTGGGTTTGAGTAGAAAGTGGATTACCATTAGGGTTATTTCCTTGGTTATTTCTATTTAAAGAGTCATTATGTAATAACGAGTGATGGTTTCCTTGGCATAAACTACAACGCCGTTGTGAGAGACAATTTTCAATTGTATGTTTGTTACCGAGGCAGTTTCTGCACATTTTATTTTGTTTGACGAAATGAAATCTTTCGTTAGGAGAGAGTTGATTAAACCTTTTACAATGATATATTTTGTGAGATGTATTTTGACAATGTGCACATTTTTGAGAATCATTGCTAGAGGATTGATTTTATTATTTTAGAGAAAGAGAAGAGAGGGAGAATTGTTTAATAACAATATAGAGAAGAGAGAGTGTGAAAAATTATAATTAATTACATATTCAGCGGTTATTAAATTTTACCTAACCTAAATTGCATTTTTTCAACTCTCAACAGAGAAGAACAACTAATGAATGCACAGGGACACTTGCTATTCGGCAACAAGACGCTATGCACACATACAAAAAATCAGCGGGTTAAAAAGAGAAAAAGATAGGATCGCGCGTAGGAATATCTTCTAGAATTTAAATTCATCAATTGTCATTTTTCGATACAGCGGCGGAGCAGCAAGTTTTTAATTTAAAGGAAGAAAAATAAAGTTGGAGTTTTCCCGACACCGAGCGACGAATTAAGGAACAATAGGCCCAACCTAAAAGAATCCATTGAATCATTCATCAATGAATGCGAAATTTGCCAACGTAGCAAATACGAACGCCACCCAATAAATATGGAAATGAACATCGCCTTCTGCAACAAAACCATTTGACATCGTCCACCTTGATACATACACTCTCGCTAAGGTTAAATTTCCCACCATAATAGACAGTTTTTCTAAATATGCCCACGCTTATGCCCTTAGATCTTTAGCCGCTACGGAAATATGTGATAATCTCATATCCTTCTTTTCACATCATGACATTCCATCCCATCGAAAATAATCACAGGCAATAGAACTGAGTTCAAAAATACTGTTCTTACTTTAACTTCACAAAGTAAAAATACATTTTTGTTCTCCTTACCACCCTCAATCGAACGGCGTAATTGGAAGACTTCACTCAACATTATCTGAGCTCATAAGAATTTTCAACAATCAAGAATTCCTCAAAACGCCAGTTACCCAAAAAATTAAATATGCAATCTTAGCATACAATCATATGATGCACTCTGTAACCCAAACACAAGCCTATTGACATAATCTTAAATTAGATCAACTTCTAATAACAGATAGATTACGTCAAGGAGTACAAAAATAAAACAAAACTTTTCTATTTCAACATAAACGTCTTATGGATACAAAAAATAAAATAATTGGCAAAATCAAAGAAAATCGGGATAAACCAACATTATTTAGACTAGAACAGAAGATATACGTAAAATTGGGAGACAAATTTCAACCAGCCACACAAATAGAGACACTCCAGGCAAAGTGCATATGAACAACATTGAACGTCCTTTAAGGAACAAATATAGTTTTGATACTTAAATTAATTTTAATAAATAATAAGTATATTATTATTGGTACTAATGAAAAATATGAATAGTATAACGTCACGCTTACGTTTATTAATCTTTATTTCAGCTTTCTTATCCGTACATTCGGAAACCAAGAGCTAATCTCCATAAGAAAATTGGAGGATAATCCTGGAATTATCCCTGTGAAACTTGGAAATGCAAAAATTAGAGACTACACTACACATTAATACATTACTATGACCTTAATCCCATATTAATCGAAATTAAGAAACTACACTCTAAATCCAATAATATAACTAGCATGTTCAATGGACACAAAGAGTATTCTCAAGATATTAGCAATTACTATATCAAATTAATTGAACAAATACAGATTTGAGTAGATAACAAAATTAAAGAATTAATTCCCCAACCACAAAGAACAAAAAGAGGATTGATTGACGGCCTAGGGTCAATTTTCAAATCCGTAACCAGAAACCTCGACGCTGATGATGGCGAGCGTTATGAAAATCTTATAAGGAAATTACAAGGAAATCAAAAGAATTTGCAAGCAAATATTTTGAAACAAAATTCACTTTCTTCAACTGTTATTGAAAAATGCAATACAATGATAAAACAAGTAAATTATAATGAGAAACTCCTATAGAATCAAAAATCAATCAAATCGCACATATAGTAGAGAAATCTGCTTATAGAGAAAATTCTCTTTATTTCAACGACATCATTAATCAAACTATTATTGTCTACGAAATAATAGATTCAATACTACAGGATGTCGAAAACTCTTCAACTTTTTCTAAGTTAAAAATTATTCATCCTTGCATAATGAGAACTGTAGATCTCTGTACAGAAATAATTAAATTACAAAAACAACTAAGTACCTAATGAACAAATGCCTTTAGCAGTTAATGTTGAGAACATCCGTTTGTATGAAAAAATCATCAAATTAGAATCATTTGCTCTCAACAATAAAATAACTTATTTGGTCCACATACCTATAATGTACCCTGAATCTTTCGATTATTTCCACCTATATTCAATACCAATCAAAAGTCAGAGTCAGTTTAAAGTAGACCTTCCACAAAATAAAAATCTTCTAAAAAACAGACTGCACTACGCACATTATGGCTAAGAATGTCAGGAAATCCTTCCTGAATTTCACCTATGCGAAAAAGAAAAACTTCAAGACAGCATGTGAAATAAAGCTACTGAACTCTGAAAAAGATACTTCTACTTGCAAGCCAACCGAAGTCAAAATCACACAATCAATAATCAATCGATTCGATAAATGCAATCAATTTTTTAACCTTTGTAACGCGTAACGCGAAAGTACTGTATTGTAAATTAGTGAATAAATTGTTTTTCAAAAACTCGTTAACGGCTTACGGATTGATAACTCATGTTATAAGAGCGGACCAAACATAAGTATAACAGAGGGAAATGTAGAAGGAAATGTCACGTTTTTTATCTTAATTAGAGGCAGCAGAATAAATTATGCGTTTTATCTTTTTTGTATTGTACGCTGAAAAGAAACCCCAAGAGAAAATAGAGAATAAAAACAAATTAGCACTTTAACAAAGCGTTTTTTACATTTTGCGGAAAAAAAAAACTTTTTATGAGGCAAACCAATTCTGTTTTACTTGAATATTAAATAACAAATAAAGAAAAAAACACTTACCCTCCTTGAGTGGCACTTGATATACTCAAAGTAAATATACTATTTGTATAACCATCGCAATTACAGGAATCTGTATGTCTGCCGCCATTTCCTGAGGCCCACACGAATATTGAACCTTTACCCTTTCGTCCACTTGTTACACCTATAAAATACATTAAAATAGTTTCAAACCACTTATTGAAAAAATAATATAAGATTAAGGTAGAAAAATAGCTACCATAAATGAATGCTCTTCTAGCTAACGGTCCAGGACCATCAACGGTTTTTCCATCATCTTCTGGTCCCCACGAAGCACTATAAATATCTATATGCTCTGGATTTAAGCCCAAAGCTCTCGCCTCCACGGCATCGTTTACTACGCCATCCAGCATGCGAACACCTGCAAAAAATGTTTGCTTGTGAAAAATATAATAGTTTAAGCATTTTGACTGGTTTAGTTAGCATTTTGGATCATAAAATCCCAAGACTTTAAAATTTAATGTTTTATAAAAGTCGCAATTTCCTGAATTTCTCTATTTCTGATACGACGCTTGCAGTAAAAGTTTTACTGCTTCGGGATTTTGGATTTGTTTGATTTTAAATAGCATTAGAGTAGGTACAGAATGGAATCAAAGAATATTTTTAAACTAGGGAATGCAGATAAAAATAGACTTGACTGGATTGACGGATTTGCCTCAACACAATACTATTTCAAAATGTTACATCAGTTGCGTCAGAAATGTAAGAATTTGCTTTACTCTAGTTGTAGCTAATAATCAGCTGACCTCAATAACTCGCTCTAGCTAGAACTTATAATAGTTATTTATGTATCAAGGGAATTATGCAGGTGTTAATACCCCAGGGCAACGTTTGTGTCCCGAGGGCCTCCGGCCCGAGGGACACCAATTGCCCGTGGGTATTAACTCCTGATAATTCCCGTGGTTAAGGAAGGGAGTTAAGGATATCATAACTCCCAAGGGAGTTAAGGATTTCCATAACTCCCGCTTTTACCTTGAATAGGTAACACTTTGACAAAAAATAGAAATTTTGATTTATGGCTTATTCCTTTATAAAAAATAGACAGAATACAGTAAATTCAGTAGGATATAAAATTATCCATGTACCACGAGAATTATCAGGAGTTAATACCCACGGGCAATTGGTGTCCCTCGGGCCGGAGGCCCTCGGGACACAAACGTTGCCCTGGGGTATTAACACCTGCATAATTCCCTTGATACATAAATAACTATAACAGGTTTTCATAGATCTATAATCTAATTTTAAGCCCAATCAACTTAGTTGTGATACAATATTCTGGAAGCGTTTAATCGAAAGAATCCAGTCCACATCGCAACGGTAAAGAGAGATAAATTTGACCACATATAATACATTACGCCGTTGAAGCGCCGTTGCGCTTCCTAGTTCAACGGCGAGGTCAGAGATATTTAAAACGAAAATGGCGTGAAAATATACAGAAACACTGAGTTTATCTGTGGAAAACGCATATACCAAAATGCATTTCTATTATCTGTAAATTTTTTCTGCATCAAGCATATACATTATTTCAAATAAAATATTTCGTTTTTCTGTTTATAAGTACTTTTATAAAGTTTGGAAATAGAATATATGTATGTATCTAAATCTATAACTAATATAACGCCTCCGCTCTATCTACGCTGGATGGAGCCTCATAAATCGGTCATACCTCTGCTATCAGACCGATTTCCTTATCTAATACTAGATACAAAGCAATGTCTCCAATATAGCTTAATGATTCGCGAGCTATAAGTCGAGAGTCGATAGTTGAATCTTAGAAATACATATACATATATATGTTTTTTTTTTTTTTGAAAATAGAACTTTTCCATCAAGAACTTGAATTTTTGAAGCCAACACAATCCGGAAAAGAACGTTTGTGTTCCTCTCGGAGCTCCTGAATAACAAAAATAATTTTGTTAAGTGCAGATTCCTATATTAGACAAAGGATCGCATAGTCTTCTTATATTTCAAAGTTCAGCAGAGAGATTCCAGCTTTTATTGATTAGAGCGGAAATTCCAATCTCAGACATTAAAGCAAACAATTAAATGTAATATAAATTGAAATTTTTTATCCTAAAATATACCATACCTACATACAGGGTGTACCATTTAAAACAAAACAGGCTAAATATCTGATGCCAAGTTTATTTAAAAAAAAATCGCTTGTACACATAATTTGATTGATTTTTAACACTTCAACATCCACCCCCTAGGCGGGGTAGGAACAACAATTACTATTTCAAATAGAACAAGGAGTCGAGTTATACCTTTTTTTAAAAGAGTGTTCAATTCTTTTTCATTTGAAAGAAAATTGAACGCTCTTTTAAAATAGGTATCACTACATCCCCTGTTCCATTTGGAATGATAAGGGTTGGTCCCAAATTAGTGCTGAAAATGTTTCAAACACCCACACAATCAAATTACGTCTACGAGCGATTAAAAAAAAAACTCACATCAGACATTTAACTTGTTTCGTTTTAAATGGTAAACCCTGTATAATTAAAGTCAATTTCATTTTATATTTTAATAAAGAGAAGGTATTCCTCAGTCATTTCAAACTTTCTCTGAAAACATTGAGTCGGTCGATCCCAATTCTATAATCTCTAATAGGTGGATATCATGCTGGGCGCTTCTGTTTTCTATGCACCTCTTTCTAAAGATTAAATCAAATGAGGAAAAAAAAAAAAAAAAAAACATTCAAATGGATATACTTTTGAATATTCTATACTTATAGGCATTGGCGTATCCAGGATTTTGGTTTGGGGGGGAGGGGGGCTGTGTTAACAAAAAGTGTAGACCAAAAAAAAAAAAAAAGCTGCGCACAATAGTCCGTTTTCACGTGCCTCTCATTGACTAAAGCATTCATGCGCATGTTGCCACATTAGAAATGACGAAATATTTTAGAATCATGTTACTAGGTAGCCAGGTTTTTTATCAGCCATATTTTGGAATGGTTTACTAATGAGAACTAACTTTGGCATCCTCGCATGTTTGGAAAAGTGACGTCCCTTTCCCATCCGACGTTTTCGCAGCAGTTTGAAAATTCGTTTGATGAATGACTAACAGAATAGTTTAAAAATGTGAAAGTTGCCTATTTTAGTCAGGAATTCACCTGTAACATACTCAAATGTTACGCGCCATTTTTTTTTTACAGGGCGAAATAAAAAAAATTGCATCGGGCCACTTATTCGCTTTTTTTTGGTAAGGAGGAGAAATTTTGTTCACGGAGCACCTGCTCTCTTGGGCCCTTATTCTTGAAACAGGGGAGCAGGGAGCAGCATAGCTTTTCCGTCTGTGTTACTCATAATGATATCATTTGCATGTCACTGAGAAACACAGAGAAATCGTTCTCACGAGAACGCTGGTCCTTCGTTTCAAGAATATGTACCCTAAGCTGGCACTCTGTACCGGATAAAGAACGTTATCCCTATCGTTAAGGCACTTGCTGTCTTCTTCTTCTGTTTCCGAAATCAATAGAAACGCCACGTCAATAGAAAATATCGATATCGATTCTCGTCTCAGAGAATAGAGCTTCCCGAGAGAACAAATTTTTCGTCTTTATCATTCTCATTTACTTTTCGAATACGTGGGAAAGGACAAAACATGCGTTCTATCGGGGAGCTCTATTCCCTGAGACGAGAATCGGGCCCCTGAGGAAGGAAGTAATTCGGACATTCAGGAAGATTAAGATGAAGCACTGATTTCTTTGCTGCATTAGGTGCCCGGCATAGAAAAACCTTATTATAGGAAGAAATGAATTTTATTTCCATTTTTTCTATTCAAAAAAATGTACATACATGTCACATAAAATACGCTGAAAAAAAATAGTCTAGACTTGCCTTGGGGGGGGGGGGGGCTGGATACGCCTATGCTTGTAGGTATGTCACGGAAAATTCAAAGGGAAAAGAGATTTTAAGATATCAGAGTTACATTCCAATTGAGTGTGATCTTTGTCATGAAAAATTCAAGCAAAGAGGTGAATTAAAACATCTATATGTGACCCATTTAGATAAATATAATTTTGAATGTGATACTCGTCACAAAATTTTCGAAAAGTGAAAATGTTTCAGCACATGAAAAATCATTTAATACAAATGTATAAGGAAAGAAAGGCTTTTGTGAGAACCCCTTAAGACTCTCAAATGAGCCTTTTTGATATCACAAACGAGTTGCATCCCCGTATATGTACGTATATAGAGCCCCGAACGTGTGAATTATGTGGCGTACCTCTACCTAATAACAAGAGCTTGGTGATAGACCCGAAACAATTTATAGGGAACTTGCACTTTTTTTTTTTTTATTTCAAAAATTTATTCTACTACACTAAAGACATAGTCATGCCAAATATCAAGCATTAAAAATCAGCCGTTAATTTTTTATAAATATTCGAAGTTACGCTCGGAACACCGCCATTTGAAATGACCGATTAGTGTGACATCACTCGGCAACAAAATTCCGTTGACAGTGACGAGCACTTCGAACTTCGAGCAGGTAGATCATTGGTAGATTTAGATTATGGTTATGTTGTTATGTATGCCGTTTACGATAGATTTGACATTGACGCAGGGCCGCAACTAGAACCTTCGGCGCCCAAGGCAAGTTCAAATTTTGGCGCCCCTCCACCGCCTTCTCAAAAGTAACGATAGATATATTTATTTTTTGATGCTTTGGTTTTTGCTTGAAATTTTTTCAATACATTTTCGAAATATTTAATTTAGACATATTAATAAATCAATAGTATATTGTGGCCTAGGCCGGAAACGTGATTCCCGTATTGTTATTCATTGATTCCTTAGCAACTATTGAAACATAAGGAAAATACCATAATAGGTTTGTTCCAGCAGGCTATCAGAAATGTTGGCAGCAGCTTGTGACATGCGCAATGACAAATTTGCGTTCCAGCAAAGAAATGTTGGTGACAATTTGCAAATGACAGCTGTTTCAGCAGCAGATGTTTGAAACATTTATAACGTGTTGGCAACTGCTCAAAATGCTTGTCGATTCTCTTCAAACATTTTAATTCCTAACCTAACTTTGACCTTCACCTTTGATCAAGGTTCCACCTTTGATCGATTTTTTCATTACAGAATAGGGCAATCCTATGAAACTGGCGGCCAATGCCAAGCGGCAAACAATGAAATTGGCGCCATAAATTTAATTCAAACAACCGAGACATTTTTTATCAAAAAACTGTTTTTTGTATATTTTGTGGTACATATTTTGAGGTGATTTTTTAGTGTTTGAAATTTCAAGATGGAAAGTTTTTATTTTATGAAGTTATTAGTGGAATGCCCGGATGTTGGCAAAAGGTATTTACGACTTTTTTTTAACAATCCCTTACCTACTAAACAATTAGGTACT